CCCCCCAAACACCCAAAACCCCAACCACCAACCACTAACTAAACACTCACAACCACCAAACAACCAAACACCCCAACACCCCCCACCCCCACCACCCACACACCCCACAACCCCAATCCCCCCCCAAAACACACCAAAAACAACCCCCCCACCACCACCAACCTTCACATACACCCCCACCACAACCAAACCCACACCACCCACAAAACCCCCCAACCCCCCCAAACTAACAATACCCCCCCAAACTTCCCCCTTACCATACCTCCCCCAAACCTCCCAATCCCAACATTTCCCTCCTATATCCCATATTTAACCAACTTCCATCCAATCCATAATTTCATTCTTTATCATTATTCTCCCCTCCTTTCCCCATAACCCCCCACATCCCCCCCACCCCAACAACCCAAAACTTTTCCTTCCCCCCCCCACTTTTCACCCCTCAACTCCCCCTTACCTCCCTCCATATTATTTTTCACCCTCTCATCCCACCCACCCCCCCCTCCACCACCACCCCCCACACCTCCCCCCCCACCCACACCCACAACAACCCCCCACCCCATCCCCAACCACCCCCCCCCCCCCAACCACAACCACCCCACAAAACCCAACACAACCCCCCCCCCCCCACCCCCAAACAACCAACCAACAATTCCACAACAACCCCCCAACCCACAACACCACACCCCCAACACACCTTCCCACAACACACAACACCCCCACAACATCCAAAAACCACCTTCCCCCCCCCACATACCCCCCCAAACACACAACCAAACACCCCCACCACACCCCCCCCCCCCCAAACAAACCCCCACCCACCCCCAAACTCCACCCCCCCCCCCCACCACCCCCAAACCAAAACCCCCACACCCAACCCACACCCAACAAAAACCCCACAACACCATCCCCCCAAACACACCCCCACCCCCCCACCCACCACCCAACACCCACAACCACCAACCACCCAAAACCAACACAACACCACCACCCCACCCCACCAACCCAACCAAACCACACACACAAAACAACAACTACAACACCAACCCACCACCCATCCCAACCAACACACCCCATCCCCCCACCACCCCCACCCCCACACCCAACCCCCCCCCCCCCCCCCCCCAACCCCCCATCCAAACAACAACCAAACCACCAAAAACCCACCCCACACCCCCAACCCCCCCCCCACACCACACCACAAAACACAACCAAAAACCCCAATCCCCAACCCCCCCTAAACAAACACAAACACTCACCTAAAAAACTCAAACAACAAATACAAAAAAAACACAAAAAAAAAAACCACAAAAACACACCAACACAAAACCAAAACCCCCACACCCCCCCCCACCCCCCAACACCCCCCCCCCCCCCAACCCCCCCACAAACCCACCCCCCCCCACCCCCCCCACACCCCCCACCCAACAAACCCCCACACACCAACACCCCACCCCCCAAACAACCCCCCCCCCCCCCCACCCCCCACCACCACAACCACCACCCCCACCACCACCACCCAAACCCCAACACCCACCCCCAAACACCCCCACACCCCCCCCCACCACCCCCAACCCCCCCCCCCAAACCACCCCCACCCCACCCACAACCCCCCCACACCCCCAACCCACCCCAAACACCAACCAAAACCCAACACCCAACCCACCCACAAACACCCCCCCAAACACCCCCAACCAACCACCCAAAACACAAAAAACCCCACACACACAACACACACAACAAACCACACACAACAACACACCACACACACACACAACACACAACACACCACAACACACACAACACCAACACACCACACACACCCACACACAACCAACACACCACACAACAACACAACAACCCACACAACACCAACACAACCCACAACACACACACACACAACACACACCCACACACACCCACAAAACCCGCACACACCAACACACACCCCCACAACAAACCACACAACACCACACCCCACACCACACACACCCACACACACACACACCACACACACACACCACACACCCCACCAACAAACACACAACACCACACACACACCACACACAACCCCACACCCACCACACAACACACCACAAAACACACACACCAAAACACCACAACCCCCCCCCCAACCCCCCCCACCCAACCACACCTCCCACCCACACACACCAACCACACCACACCCCCACACACCCACAACACCCACACCACCACCACAACCCAAACACCACAACCCACACCACCAAAACCCCAACACCCCCCCCCCCACCAACCCCCCCCACACACACCCCACCCACCCCCCCAACACAACCCCCACCAACCACCCCCCACCCAACCAACCCCCACCCCCCCCCAACCCCCCAACACACAAACCCCCAAACCCATACAACAAATCCAACACAAAACACACCAACCACACACCACCAACTCAAAAAACCACCAAACCACAACACCACCCCAAACCACAAAAACACCCAACCAAACACCCACCAACACAACACCACCCAACCACAACAACACCCAACAACACCACCCACACACAAACCACCAACCACAAACACCACCAACACACACACCAACCAAACCCACAACACCACCAACCAACACACCAACCACAAAACCACAACCACACACCACCAACCACAAAACCACCAACACAACACCACCCCCCACCAAACAAACAACACCAACCAACACCCACCAACCACAACCCACACACCACCACAACCACAACACCCCCCCAACCCCCCACCCCCCCCCCCCCCACCACCCCCCCTCCACCCCCCCCCCCCCCCACCCACCCACCCCCCCCCCCCACCCACCAACCACACCCCCCACCCAACCCCCCCACCCCCCCCCCCCACCCACCCCCCCCACCCCCCCCCCCACACCCCCCCAACCCACCCCCCACAAAAACAAACCCACCCCCCACCAAAAACACACCAACCCACACCCCCAACTAAAAAAAAAACACCACCCCACCCACCCATCCCCCCCCCCTACCCCCCACACACCCCACCAAACCCACCACCACCAACCAACACCCCCCACACACCCACACACACCCAAACACCCCACCCACACACAACCACCACCACCCCACACCCCCACCCAAACAAACACCCACCACCAAACCCCCCCCCCCCACAAACAAACCAAACCCCCCCCCCCCCCCCAACAAACCCACCACACCCCCCCCCAACCCACCACCCAACAAACACCCAACACACCACACCCCCCCCCCACCCCCAACCCAACCCCCCCCCCCCCCCCCCACCCCCCCCCACCCCACAATCACACCCCACCCACCCCCCACCCCACAACCCCCCACCCCCCCACACACACACACCCCACCCCCCCCACCCCCACCCCCCACACCCCACCCACACCACCAAACACCCCAACCCCCCCCCCCCCCCCCCCCCCCCCCCCACAACCCCCCCCCACCACCCCCCCACCAACACACCACACCCCCCCAACACAACCCCCCCCCCCCCCCCCCCCCCCCCCCCCCCCCCCCCCCCAAACAAAAAAACAACCACCCCCACAACCACCCCACACCACCCCCCCCCCCCCCACCCCCACCCACACCAACCCCACCCAACACCCACCCCCAAACCCCCCCCACCCCCCCCCCCCCCCCCCTCCCACCCCCCCCCCCACAAACCCCAACACCAACAACCCACCCCCACCAACCCCCCCCCCCCCCCCCCCCCCCCCCACCCCACCAAAAACACCCCCACCACAACCCCCCCCACCCCCAAACCACCCCCACCAACCCACACACCCCCACCACCCCCACCACCCCCACCACCACACCCCCACCACCACACAACCCCCACCAACCCCCCCACCACACCACCCACACAAACCACCCCAAACACACCCACACCCCAACCCCCCCAACACACACCAACCACAACACCACCCCCCAAACCCCCAACCCCCCCCACCCCCCCCACCCCCCCCCCCAAACCACACACCCCCCCCCACCCAACCAACCCCCCACCCACCCACCACAAACCCCCCCCCCCCACCCCCCAACACCACACCACCACCCACCCCCACAACACCCCCAACAACCCACACCCCCCCACAAAAAAACCAACACACCCAACACCACACACAACACCCCCCCCCCCCACCCCACCCACAACCCCCACCCACCCCCAACCCCCACCCCAACACCCCCCACCAACACACCCAACAACCACAAACCCCCCCCCCACCCCCCCAACCCCACACACCAACCCCCCCCCCCCCCCCCAACACCCACACACACACAACCCACCCACCCCCAACCACCCCCCCCCCAAACCCAACCCCACACCCCCCACACACCCAAACCCAAACACCCCCAAACCCCCACCCACACCACCCACCCAAAACAAAAAAAACCCAACACCCACACACCACACCCCCCCCCCCCCAACAACCAAACCCCACACATCCCCACAAAAACCCCCCCCCACCCCCCCCCCCCCCCACCCACCACCACCACACAACCCCCCCCCCCACCCACCCCCCCCCCCAAACCACACCCACCCCCCCCCACCCCAACCAACACCCCACCCCACCCCCCCCCCCCCACAAACCCCCCCCCCCCCCCCAACACACCACCCACACAATCACAACCAACACCCTACCACCCACACCCCCCCCCACACCAACCAAAACACCACCCCAACCCCCCCCCACACACCACCCCCCTACCACAACCACACAACCACCACCCTCCCCCCACACACCACCCACCCCCACCAACCCCCCCCACCCACCAAAACACCCCCCCCAACAACACAAAACCCAAACCCCACCACCCCCCCACCCCCACCAACCCAACCCCCCCACACCTAAAATAAACCCCTCCCCACCCCAACCCCCCCCCCCCATAACCTAACATACTAACCACCCTCTATCACCACTTACACAAATCCCCATCACACATCACCCCCCTCACCCAACACCCAATCAACAACTCCTCCCACACTACTAATAAACTAAAAACCCCCCAACCACCCCACACAACCACACCCCCCCCCCCCCCCCCCCCCCCCCCCCCCCACAACCCCCCCACACCCAACCACCCCCCCACCAAACCCCCCCCAACCCCCCCAACCCCCCCCCCCCCCACCCCAACCAAAACACACCCCCACCCAACCCCCAACCCCCCCCCACCCACACCCACAAAAACCCCCCCAAACCCACCCCAACACCCCCCCCCACCCACCCCAACCCCCAACCCCCCCACCCCACCCCCAACCACACCAACACCCACCCAAAAACCCCCCCCAACCCCCACACCCACCACACCCCCCCCCACCCCCCAACCCCCCCCCCCCACCCAACCCACACCCCACCACCACCCACCCCCCCCCCCCCCCCCCCCCCCCCCCCCACCCCCCACACCCACAACACCCAACACCCAAAACCCCCCCCCACCCAACAAACCCCCCCCCCCCCCCCCCCACCCCCCCAAACAAAACCACACCCAACACACCACACACCCACCCAACCAACCCACCCCCAACAACACCAACCCCCCCCCCCCCCCCAACCCCAAAAACAAACCACCAACCCCCACACCACCCCAAAACCCAACCACACACACCAACACCCCCCCACCCCACACCCCACACCACCACCCCACCACAACCCAACACCCACCCACAACCCCCAACCCCCCACCCCCCCCCACCACCCCACCCCCCCCCCCCCCACCCCAACCCCCCAACCCCACCCCCCCCCACCCCCCCACCCCCAAACACCCCCCCCCCCCCCCCCACCACCCCCCACCAACCCCCCCAACCAACACCCCAACCCCCCAAAACCCCCCCACCCCAAACCCCCCCCAAAACACAACCCCACCCCCCACACCCCCACCCACACCCACCAAACCCCCCCCCCACACACCCCCCCCCACCCAACCCCCCCCACCAACCACCCCCCACCCACCCCAAACCAACACCAAAACCACCCCCCCCCAACCCACAAACCCACCCACCCACCCAACCCAACCCCCCCCCCAAACCCCAAAAAACTACCCCACACCACCACACACCAACCCCCCACACACACAACCCCAACCCCCCCCCACACCCCCCCCCCACCACCACCACCCACACACCACCCAACACACCCCAACACCACACCCCCCCACCACCCCCCCACCCCCACCCCCACCCACCCCAAAACACCCCCACCCCCCACCCCACCCACACCCACCCCCCCACCACCCCCCCCCCCCCCCCACCCCACCCCCCCCCACCACAGACCCAGGACTGAGGCTGTAGACCCAGGACTGAGGCTGTAGACCCAGGACTGAGGCTGTAGAACCCAGGACTGAGGCTGTAGACCCAGGTAGACCCAGGACTGAGGCTGTAGACCCAGGACTGAGGCTGTAGACCCATGACTGAGGCTGTAGACCCAGGACTGAGGCTGTAGACCCAGGACTGAGGCTGTAGACCCAGGACTGAGACTGTAGACCCAGGACTGAGGCTGTAGACCCAGGACAGAGGCTGTAGACCCAGGACTGAGGCTGCAGACCCAGGACTGAGGCTGCAGACCCAGGACTGAGGCTGTAGACCCAGGACTGAGGCTGTAGACCCAGGACTGAGGCTGTAGACCCAGGACTGAGGCTGCAGACCCAGGACTGAGGCTGCAGACCCAGGACTGAGGCTGTAGACCCAGGACTGAGGACTGTAGACCCAGGACTGAGGCTGTAGACCCAGGACTGAGTAGCTGTAGACCCAGGACTGAGGCTGTAGACCCAGGACTGAGGCTGTAGACCCAGGGCTGAGACTGTAGACCCAGGACTGAGGCTGTAGACCCAGGACTGAGGCTGTATGACCCAGGACTGAGGCTGTAGACCCAGGACTGAGGCTGTAGACCCAGGACTGAGGCTGTAGACCCAGGACTGAGGCTGTAGACCCAGGACTGAGGCTGTAGACCCATGACTGAGGCTGTAGACCCAGGGACTGAGGCTGTAGACCCAGGACTGAGGCTGTAGACCCAGGACTGAGGCTGTAGACCCAGCCAGACTGGAGACTGTGGACCCAGGACTGAGGCTGTAGACCCAGGACTGAGGCTGTAGACCCAGGACTGAGGCTGTAATCAAAACACTGGTTCACATGTCCTTCCGTTCTCGTTTCAAAATCACACAAAAGTAAGATCTAGTAAAAGACACAAGACCAAAACATGCCACTTTTCTTTTAAACGCAGGCGAAGTGTTTGAGACCGTAGAGTACAGAGTGTGGAGCAGCGGTACGTTCTGTTTCTGAGCGAGTACCTGTGCTCACGCTGGGCCTCTGTACCTCTGCTCCCTTTGAACACACGTCTCTTCAGACGCACACGTCCAGTTTAGCCGCTTCTCACTTTCAACACCTCTTAATCTCTGCAGCTGCTACACATGTTCATAACACCCTCTCCCGTGTCCTGTCACCCCCTCTCTCCCATCTCTCCCCCTCTCCCCCTCTCTCCCCCTCTCCCCCTCTCTCCTCCTCCCCTCTCTCCCCCTCTCCCCCTTCTCCCCCTCTCTCCCCCTCTCTCCCCTCTCTCCCCCTTCTCCAACCTCTCCCCCCCCCTCACTCCCCCTCTCTCCCCCCTCTCACCCCTCTCTCCAACCTCCTCCCCCCCTCACTGCAACCCCCCCCTCTCCCCCCCCTCACGTCCCCCCCTCTCCTCCAACCTCCCTCCTTCCCCCCCCCTCACTCCCCCCTCACTCCGACTCAACTATCCCCCCTCTAGTCCCCTCATCTCCCCCCTCTCCCCCCTCTCTCACCAACCTCCCCCCCCCCCCCCCCTCACCCCCCCTCTCTCCCCACTCTCCACCCACCTCCCCCCTCTCCCAACCTCCCCCCTCTCCTCCCCCCTCACTCCCCCTCTCTCCCCCCCCCTCTCCCCCCCCCCCCCCCCCCCCCCCTCTCTCTCCCCTCTCTCTCCCCCCCTCTCCCCCCCCCCCCCCCCCTCACTCCCCCTCTCTCCCCTCTCTCCCCCTCTCTCTCCCCCTCTCTCACTCCCCCCCTTGTCTCCCTTTTGTAGATATTCGACTTGATGGATGCCAAAGCTCGACAAGATTGCATCAAAGAGATAGATCTCCTGAAGGTAGGTCCTGGAGAAGACAGAGCTGTGTTTGTGGAAATCAGACTTTACACTTTACACTTTACACTTTACACTTTACACTTTACACTTTAGACTTTACACTTTAGACTTTACACTTTAGACTTTACACTTTACACTTTACACTTTACACTTTAGACTTTACACTTTAGACTTTACACTTTACACTTTACACTTTACACTTTAGACTTTACACTTTACACTTTACACTTTACACTTTAGACTTTACACTTTACACTTTACACTTTAGACTTTACACTTTACACTTTACACTTTAGACTTTAGACGCGGATCTTTAAGCACCAGAGAAACCTGCACCTTTTTTTTTCTCAGTTTTACAGGTTTTTTTTAGACAGAATGAAGACAGAGCAAGTGTTTTACACAGATTGATGGATAGATACTTTATTGAGGCCCGTGTGAGAGATTCAGACATCCAGCAGCAGAAACATGTAGCATCACATGCTAACCTGTACTGTAGCATCAATGCTAACCTGTACTGTAGCATCAATGCTAGCATGTACAGTAGCATCAATGCTAGCATGTACAGTAGCATCAATGCTAGCATGTACAGTAGCATCAATGCTAGCATGTACAGTAGCATCAATGCTAGCATGTACAGTAGCATCAATGCTAACCTGTACTGTAGCATCAATGCTAGCATGTACTGTAGCATCAATGCTAGCATGTACAGTAGCATCAATGCTAGCATGTACAGTAGCATCAATGCTAGCATGTACAGTAGCATCAATGCTAACCTGTACTGTAGCATCAATGCTAGCATGTACTGTAGCATCAATGCTATGCATGTACAGTAGCATCAGATGCTAGCATGTACAGTAGCATCAATGCTAGCATGTACAGTAGCATCAATGCTAGCATGTACAGTAGTCATCAATGCTAGCATGTACAGTAGCATCAATGCTAGCATGTACAGTAGCATCAATGCTAGCATGTACAGTAGCATCAATGCTAGCATGTACAGTAGCATCAATGCTAGCATGTACAGAAGCATCAATGCTAGCATGTACAGTAGCATCAATGCTAGCATGTACAGTGCTATCACAAGCTAACATGTACAGTGCTATCACAAGCTAACAGGAACAACATAGTTAGTATGTTACTGATCATCAACAGTTTATATTTCTGTCACTAGAGAATACAACTGGATGGATTTTATTATTAAGCTGTACTTGTCGTTGCAGTTCTGTGTTTGATAGTTTGATTCTCTAATCTGTGTTGGTGAATCCTCACTGCTATAGTTATTTAAGGCTGTACAGATATAACTATAAATAAAATATGGCTGACTGTGGCGACAGATGGGTTTTGTGTTTCTATCCTTAAAGCTTTTCCTGCGCGCATTAGCATACAAGGTTAGCTTCTTCCACCTGCTAACACACGCAGCAGCTCCGAGACTAATGAACAATAATGACAGAGCCGGTGTTTTTAGCCGTCAGAGAGATGCTAGCAGCGCGTGTCAAAGACCTTTCTTTAGCTTTGTACACGGCGCACGGCAGGCGGAACACGCACACGCTGCAAAACCAGAAAACAAAACTAATTAGTGAGTGCCAATCAAACAGCTGCGTGCTGCTCCCGGGGCTGCCTTGACCAATCAGAGGCGAGAATACTCAGAGGTGGAGAGTGCGGGGGCTGGACCAGGAGCAGGAGCAGGGGTCAGAGTTCAACTGTCAGAGAGGGTTTTTTACTCTAGGATCTGGTTTCTATTCAACCTAACCTTAGTAAGTAAACAGTGCGTTGCTATGGTAACCAGCACTTTCTCTTCTCTGATGGAAAACCAAGCCGAACCAGAACCAGTCCAGGACTAGAGCACATTGGACTGAGGCTGTAGATCCAGGACTGAGGCTGTAGACCCAGGACTGAGGCTGTAGACCCAGGACTGAGGCTGTAGACCCAGGACTGAGGCTGTAGACCCAGGACTGAGGCTGTAGACCCAGGACTGAGGCTGTAGACCCAGGACTGAGGCTGTAGATCCAGGTCTGAGACTGTAGACCCAGGACTGAGGCTGTAGACCCAGGACCGAGGCTGTAGACCCAGGACTGAGGCTGTAGACCCAGAACTGAGGCTGTAGACCCAGGACTGAGGCTGTAGACCCAGGACTGAGGCTGTAGACCCAGGACCGAGGCTGTAGACCCAGGACCGAGGCTGTAGACCCAGGACTGATGCTGTAGACCCAGGACTGAGGCTGTAGACCCAGGACTGAGGCTGTAGACCCAGGACTGAGGCTGTAGACCCAGGACTGAGGCTGTAGACCCAGGACTGAGGCTGTAGACCCAGGACTGAGGCTGTAGATCCAGGACTGAGGCTGTAGATCCAGGTCTGAGACTGTAGACCCAGGACCGAGGCTGTAGACCCAGGACCGAGGCTGTAGACCCAGGACTGAGGCTGTAGACCCAGGACTGAGGCTGTAGACCCAGGACCGAGGCTGTAGACCCAGGACCGAGGCTGTAGACCCAGGACTGAGGCTGTAGACCCAGGACTGAGGCTGTAGACCCAGGACTGAGGCTGTAGACCCAGGACCGAGGCTGTAGACCCAGGACCGAGGCTGTAGACCCAGGACCGAGGCTGTAGACCCAGGACCGAGGCTGTAGACCCAGGACCGAGGCTGTAGACCCAGGACCGAGGCTGTAGACCCAGGACTGAGCAGATTGAGTGTAATCAGTGAGTGTGAATGAAGTGTTGATTGAAATAAAAATGCTAATTACCGCTGACGATGAGTACGTTTCCCGCTCTTTTCGTGGCCTTCATCTGATTGATCCAACCAGACGTGACGAGATTTAGACCATTCAGTCCACTTTAATTATATAGCACATTTCCAAAGTGCTGCACATTAAAATACTAATGAAAACCAATCCAGAGTAAAACAGTAAAATCATTAAAAATCCAATTGGAAAAACTGTGTGTTTTTATGTATGAATATAAAAATAACAATAACATTAGTTTGTCCATTCATCCATTTTCTTCCCCTTAATCCATTTCTGGGCCTGGGGTGGCAGTCAGAAATGCAAATGGAGGACGGCTGCTCTGTCTGTGAGAGCATGGCCTTGGTGTGTCAGCGGGGACTCAGGCAAAGTGGGGTTAAGTGTCTTGCCCAAGGACACAGCAGACATCAGTGGGTGTCGGTGGAGAAGGTCACGTGTCGGGATCGAACCCACAACCTTCAGGCCTCAGTGAAAATGATTCGATAGTATTGCAATATTTTTCGTCCACAATTCAATTTTATTGCGATTCTAATTATATCGCGATACAGACCGTCTGTGATTCGATTCTGATTCATGTCCCTCATATTATTCAAAGTCTCTTTCTGGTCTCTCTCTGGTCTCTCTCTGGTCTCTCTCTGGTCTCTCTCTGGTCTCTCTCTGGTCTCTCTCTGGTCTCTCTCTGTACTCACTCTGGTCTCACTCTGGTCTCTCTCTGGTCTCTCTCTGGTCTCTCTCTGGTCTCTCTCTGTACTCACTCTGGTCTCACTCTGGTCTCTCTCTGGTCTCTCTCTGGTCTCTCTCTGGTCTCTCTCTGGTCTCTCTCTCTGGTCTCTCTCTCTGGTCTCTCTCTCTGGTCCCTCTCTCTGGTCTCTCTCTCTGGTCTCTCTCTCTGGTCCCTCTCTCTGGTCTCTCTCTCTGGTCTCTCTCTGGTCTCTCTCTGTACTCACTCTGGTCTCACTCTGGTCTCTCTCTGGTCTCTCTCTGGTCTCTCTCTGGTCTCTCTCTCTGGTCTCTCTCTCTCTGGTCCCTCTCTCTGGTCTCTCTCTCTGGTCTCTCTCTCTGGTCTCTCTCTCTGGTCACTCTCTCTGGTCACTCTCTCTGGTCTCTCTCTCTGGCCTCTCTCTGGTCCCTCTCTCTCTGGTCTCTCTCTCTCTGGTCACTCTCTCTGGTCTCTCTCTCTGGCCTCTCTCTCTCTGGTCCCTCACTCTGGTCTCACTCTGGTCTCACTCTGGTCTCTCTCTGGTCTCTCTCTGGTCTCTCTCTGGTCTCTCTCTCTGGTCTCTCTCTCTGGTCCCTCTCTCTGGTCTCTCTCTCTGGTCTCTCTCTCTGGTCTCTCTCTGGTCTCTCTCTCTGGTCTCTCTCTCTGGTCACTCTCTCTGGTCACTCTCTCTGGTCTCTCCCTCTGGTCTCTCTCTGGTCTCTCTCTCTGGTCACTCTCTCTGGTCTCTCTCTCTGGCCTCTCTCTGGTCCCTCTCTCTCTGGTCTCTCTCTCTCTGGTCACTCTCTCTGGTCTCGCTCTCTGGTCACTCTCTCTCTGGTCACTCTCTCTCTGGTCCCTCTCTCTGGTCTCTCTCTCTGGCCTCTCTCTCTCTGGTCACTCTCTCTGGTCCCTCTCTCTGGTCTCTCTCTCTGGTCTCTCCCTCTGGTCTCTCTCTGGTCTCTCTCTCTGGTCACTCTCTCTGGTCTCTCTCTGGTCTCTCTCTGGTCTCTCTCTCTGGTCTCTCTCTGGTCTCTCTCTGGTCCCTCTCTGGTCTCTCTCCTCTTCCTCTCCTCTTCCTCTCCTCTTCCCCTCCTCCTCCTCTTTCATCTGTTTGTTTCTGTGTCTTTCTGACTTGTCCACTTCCTGCCGTTTGTGAATCTGATCCAGAGACAGATCTGTGCCCACTGAGCCTGAAGACCTCATCTCTCCCAACGGACAGGACCAAATCAGAATAATGAGACACACACACAGACACACACACAGACACACACACAGAGACACACACACAGAGACACACAGAGACACACACACACAGAGACACACACACGCGCATGCACACAGACACACACACAGTTGTTTGTTTGTCCGTTCCTCTTTGTGCTCATTCGTCTGAGTTTCAGATCTGTATCTGTGATTGTGACTTCAGGATCTCGCTCCTCAGGGTCTCTCTCTCTCTCTCTCGCTCCTCAGGGTCTCTCTCTCTCTCTCTCGCTCCTCAGGGTCTCTCTCTCTCTCTCTCGCTCCTCAGGGTCTCTCTCTCTCTCTCTCGCTCCTCAGGGTCTCTCTCT